AGCTCGATGCTGCAGAAGTTACAAACCTGATGTAGCTGACAGAAATGTAAAGTTCATATTGAAAGGTGTGGAAGAATGACTCAACTTTACAAAATTCAAGAACATTTTTGCAAATTAACAAGAAAATGTAAATTATATTAACATATATGTTATTAATAACAGTTTTATTAGGAAACTATTAGTAGTCAACAACTCTAACTTAATGGGAATGTCTGCATAGTTAAAGTACATTCCTGGCTACATTACATTATATAACTAATTATTCCTTCCTGCCTAAGATTTAAACAGAAATCACACACGATCAGGGCTTGATTTGAGCTGGATTCTGCCGGAACAGGATCCAGGAACTCTCTTATTTTGACAGGGTGCGTTCCGGTAACTATTAAAGTTATAAACAAATTTGACTGCCTTGAAAGAATAAAACCTATATTGGATATGCATTCTGAAAATAATTACATAAACACTAATTTTAAACATAACAGCCACTTACGAGCTTCCTAATATCAAATAAAAGCTGCTCCTTCAAGTAAGCATTTCCGCTTCTACCTTTAAAAAACCCTATGCCCCTAAAAGTACAGTCATGGGCAATTTAATTAAAAACACAAAAATATAGTTAAACAGCACAACTAAACTGCAAATCAGTTTTACAGTTTAATTGGGTCATTAATAAAATGTTGATTATTTATTAAAAATACAAGAGACATGTTTGATGGGTAATCATGTTACGCACATCACGAATCAAAACAACAGCACCAATTAATGGAAATAACAGTGATCAAAATGTTGAAAAGACAGTCCAATGTACTTTCATAAAAATAAAAAATAAAGTCTTCTAATTGTGCAACTAAACAACCGAGGATTGAAGCACATGAAGGCAGTGGTAAAGGAGATGCTGGAGCAGGTGCGATGATGCTTGAGAGAAGCGGAGCGTGCTCTATTCACACAAGGAGAGCTGTTGGTCAGGCTACTTCTTGTCGCTCTCTAAAATAGTTATTGAATCAAGTGTTTACAAATGTAGGTAAACGTAGATGTTTAACAACCTGGTAAAATACACCAGAATGCAGGAAATGGAATCTACTTTATCCTAAATTTTCTGGGGGACACCCAGAACCCCCACTATTTGCGTTCCAGCATTGTTTGGTTTACAAATTCATCACTGCACGCGATCCGATTAGAGTATGAGTTGTGGCTATTGTGTCAAATTTTATCTCAACATCTGTAAAAATAACTGAGCTAAAGCCATTTTTGTGTTTCCTGAGATCTGTTAACCGTGGCGGCCACCTTGAACCAGGATGACTAAGAGTTAATCATGCGTAGACGTGCATCTGATGAATACATTGAGCGTTTCTGTAAAATTTACCTAGTGATTCATGACATATTTTGCTAACACGTCAGACGGATGAACACTCGCTTGTATGTTCACAGACATTAAATAATTATTTGGAGCTGACCAATCCTGTGATGCTCTCATCTGTTTTAACTTGTTAGAGGAATAAGGATCCCAGACGAGCCCTCCCAACCTTCCGTGTTCAATTGTTTTAAGAATTTGTGATGCTAAATCAAGTCCTTTGTGGAGGAGTAGACAAATCATTAATCAGGGGAGGGGGTGAATTATTCATCATAATTAGACATTCTTTAGCTCTTTCGCCTCATTTCCCAAACATTACGTCTAATTTGATCACCGACTGGTTCGTTCACATCAGTAATTATGAGATGAGTTGTTGATTTGTTCAGGTAATAAACGTCCACACGTGGCAGACAGACGCGCACGGCTTCCATTGTCGTTAAAATCACGAGTCGAACGTGACGCGCCGATGTGAAGTTAGTGCCGTGTCTGTAGCTCTGATCATCGGTACGCACAGAAGATGGATCACATCTGCTGAGGAGCGCATTCTGCACTGCAGCAAACCATAAATCCAAAGCAAACCTGAGATGGAAACAGATTTATAACCTGCAGGAAAAACAATATTTCTCAAGAGGACGGGATCAGAGTTGGGAAGCAATTTTCATAATTTAGTTGGGCTTTTCTAAGTGACGTTCATGAAGTAATGACAAGGCCGTTAAGTTAAAAAGGCCAAATTGATAAAAGATAATTACTCATAATCTGTGTGGTTCATCCAAAACATGGTTTGCAGTGAACGGCATTCGTCGCAGGAATCTTTTCTCTGAATTAGGGAGTTTTCTGGGATTGGGTCCAAAGAAAGCACAAAGACTATTTAGGTTTTCTACAACATCTGCATACGAATATCAAATATGTCTGACTTCAACTTGAAGACGACGCCTTTAAAGGAGACTCCCATCAAAGTTAAACTGGATTAATAGATCACTTCAAGGGGATTGGGAATATTTGATCTAAAAAGGTATCGGTATATAAAAAAAAGATAACTTTTCTAAAATATGAAATTTGTAAATCTTTAACAGATTAAAAACTAGGTTAAAAAGTTCTTGATTATTTTACAAATTCAGGGAGAAAATCAACAAAATGTTCTCATAATAGATTTATATTTAGGATTTTATAATAAACAAGATCCATCCCCCCCAAAAAAAAAAGTCTACAACTGACAAATGCATCTAAAAAAATTGAATTTGAAATGATTCATAAAAAAAAAAAAAAAATCAGAATAAGGGTCTTAAAAGGTTTAAACGTTTTAATTAATCTTTGTTTCCTCCAAATGCAAAAAATAATCTCGTGTCTTCAAAATGTGCAAATAAAGCAAATATTTAGTCTCGTGCGTCTCATGAGTTGACTTATTTTCTATCGAATCTCAGGTGACATTACGAAACCAGTTTAAAATAGTTCATAAGAGCTACTTGCATAGTTTTTAAAAATCTGGCAAGTGAAATTAAACGACAATGTTTCAAAACATAAAAGGGAAATTAATTCATATCGATAAAAAAGTCATTTCTGGACATGTAATCAACACCATAGTAACATCAAGTGTGGACAACTTGATTCAAGATGGCTGCTACGATAAGCTTTTAATGAAAAAAATGCTGTTTTAGAAATATTGTGCTGAAATTTGGTGCGTTAGTAGCCAAAACTCATACCTAAAATTATCTGAAAGCTACCTGATCGCTCCGAACTGGTTTTAAATACCTTGCCCTTGACTAATCAAGTCAGCCCTGCCCGATTGTTAGCAAAATATCTTGATTTGAACTACAGGTTGGGTTTTAATAATAAAGTCATTTCAATAAGACCACCACAGCTCATCAACTTTAGCCAACACAACAACGGCTACACTTTTGTCAAATATACCAATACTGAGATAAAAATCAAAGTGGTAGTAACTGAGAGTCATCCTCAACAAGTACTTTGAGCATTTACAACTTTTGGCCAGAATGTCTCTTCTAACAAGATGATCTTAGTTTAAAATTATGGTAAAAATAAATAAATGAAAAAGGTTATGTGCATTTCTTCAAGTATTCAGAGGCCTTTAATGTTTATCAGACGTTTGTGTTTTTAAATCAAATTTGACACGAGGTCTTTGCAAACCAGAACACCTTCCTTGCAAGTAGGACGCAGCATCTGAAGATGAGGCTTCGGCGTCGGCTCTCTCCGCGCACGCTAACTCGTGCGCTCCTCCCGCAGGCTGGCTGCTCGTCATCAGGGCGTGAGCTGGAACTGCACTAAACTTAACATGAATCATAGCAGGATCAGGACAGATGACCTCATGAAGTCATCGTGATGTTGGGCTCGCCGCAGACAAACCACATCACATCTAAGGCTGAAGAAAAAACAACAGCGGGGACGTTGTACAACTTCCCATTCCGACAGCGTAATGACTAACACTGCGTGGGAATAGTTAAACATCCCGTTTCCAATGATAATTTACTGATATACCTTTAATATCCTCAATTATATAAGCCACAGAGATTATGGCTGAGATGTGACTGATTAATATCAGACCAAGGTGCTGAATCAAACGAAGACTTCTTAATTTGCAATTTGCTGCTGTTGCCATGGTTACTGCTGCCAGATCAGCGATCAAGCAAAAGCAACGGCATTCCAGCTGCCCCAGGGAAATTTAGTATTGACCATCAGGTCATTTGTTAACTAGCAGGGGTCTGTGGCCACGTTTAAAGCATGTCTTTGGCCATTAGTGGTCAGGATCATGTTACACAGTGTAATTAATCATTTTCCTCCCAATTTAAAGTCCAGTTCAAGGCTATTTTGTAAATAAAGCAAATAGGCTTCATCAGTCAAGGAAACACACAACAAAACTGTGTTTCCTCGACTGATGAAGCCTTCCGGATCGAAGGCGAAACGTTTCAGCACAAAAAAAGAAACTGTCCAGATGACCTGACTGAAAAATGTTGTATTTAGGTTTTAGTTTCACATCAACAGTTTTTAAATTTTATTTATTTAGTGGGTAAAAACCTCAAATTATCTGCTACTCATTTTAACATCGTGAACGAATTAATAAGTTTCAGTCCATATTTAAAAATCTTGATTAAACAAACAAAAATGTAATTACCACGCGCTGCATAAAGGCAAAGGCTAGTGATAATGTTTTTGTCCATCTGTTTGTCTGCAGTGTTAGCAAAATATACCATACTTCGTAAACCGCTGGACAGAATTGACTGAAACTCTTAGTAAATAAACAATAGATAAAACAGATAAACATGACTGACTTTGGAGTCAACCCTTTTCAAGATGGTCGCCACAGCTGAGCAACCTTAACTAACAAAAAGATGTCAGTCAATTTTACAGATTAAGCGGTAGCTGAGAGTCATTCCAAACAGGCACTTAGAGCACTACATTGTGCTGTATTTTTATTCAAAACTTTGTAATTGTTTGTCAACTCTGTTCTTCTGTTAGCAAAATATCTTGCGAACCACTGGATGAATTTTGATTAAATGTTTCCTGTTTTTCACAGAAGAAACTGGACTTCTAGAAGATGGAGGGCAAGTTTTGGACCAGATGAGACTCATCACGAAGAGCTGCGTCAAAGGATCTGAGTGTTTTTCATAGATTCGTGGGCTCAGGATGAAGTAGCCCGATGGCGTCCAACATGTCTGAGGAGGACATGATAAACTGCACCATCAGCCACGAAATCCACCAGTACGTCTTTTCGTTTGTCTACATCCTGGTCCTGTTGGTAAGTGTGCGTGGCTCTTTAAAGTCTGAGAACTGTAAAATCGTGTAAACCACTGAGGTCAGAGTGAGAAAGCCCAGCGTCATTCTGCATCAATGCAGCCATGACGCTTCAAGTAAAGCTCTGTGCAGAGAGCAGCATGCAAATCTGCGATCGAGTTTACAACTTCTTCAGTAATCATTATCGCCTGCCAAGGAATGGTGGGCTTTTATTGTTTGAGCACCTCAAGGGACAATGTTTGCATCAAACAGGTTTTATATTCTGTATTGTTAAGACGTTGTTACTGGTTGCTGCAGGTTATGCAGAAGTCATTTGAGCCTGTTTCCCCTGCAGACTAAGCAGCTGGATGGTGAGGCTGATAACCCATTAGTTGGACCTAAAACTCAGCCAGACCGAATCACTCTTCCAAAGAAACAAATTTAGAGTTTATGTTGGACAACTCCAGATTCTCCAGTGCTTCACTGTGGGTTTTATCCAATTAGGTTACAACAAACCTCTAACTGGGATTTAAAAGGTGGTTTAGTTCATTTGACTGCTTTAGGGCGGCTGTGACTGAGTGGTTAGAGCAGTGGTCCTTCAGTGTGAGGGTTGGGGGTTCGATTCCACCAGCAGTCACATGCCGAAGTGTCCTTGGGCAAGACACTGAACCCTTCATTGCCTCCAATGTGTGTCCCATTGGTGTATGAATGATCTAAAGCTCTGATTAATCTTAGAGATCTAGTAGAGAGCTGTATGAATGGGTAAACGAGGGCACAGATTGTGTTGTAAAGAGTTTTGAGTATCTTGATATGATAGAAAGGCGCTATACAAGTACAGTCCATTTACCATCTTCTTTGACAGAGCCTTTTCTGATCTGAGACTTTCTATAAATAAAAATCCCCTGCGTCAATCCTGGTTTTCCATTTCCTATTAGACAGAGTGTGGTGAGTTTCACTGCAGAGCTCGGTGCTCTGCAACCATCATAGCGGTCATGATATCGTGTTTCTGGGGGTTTTTCACCACATCAGACTGCAGAGATCTGTAGGAAACCTGAAGCCCGGTCAGGTTTATAGCAGATGAACGATGCCTGCAGGAGTCGATCAAATCTACTGAATCAACCTGAGTGACGCCCGAACGCTGTTTTATTAGAAATCAGACGAGACGCTTCAGTTGCATGTTGGAACCTGAAAGTGTTTCCTCAAACTTTACAATTATTTAAAAGTTTTCACTAAAGAATGGCTGATTTTTAGCTGTTCCTTTTAATTTTACAGTATTAATAAATGTATATAAAAAGTAAGTAAAAAATACTGGAATATTGTCTAAAATGGAAACAAATTTCTGCCCTAAATAAGTCAGATATGAAGCTTACTGTCGCTGTAAAGTCCTGCTCTTTGAACATTCTTGTTGGGGATGTGCATATTTAAATTGCTCCTCTTTGATTAAAGGTCGGCGTTCCCTCCAACCTGTACTCACTGTACCACGCCGCTCTGCAGCTGAAGCAGAAGAACGAGCTGGGAGTTTATCTGATGAACCTCACAGTGTCAGATCTCTTGTACCAGGCTTCCTTACCGCTCTGGCTGCAGTACATCTTCCAGGTAACAAGTCACTTTTATAATCAAAAACAAATTATCACAGTTTGTGGCACATATTCTCATATGGTAAAAGCTGGTTTGATGAGAAAAAATGCCCATCAAAATTTAAAATACAATCAAAATGGATTAGTTTTGTATTGGTGGTCATTAGAACTTGGTGTCCAATCCTGATCCTGCATGTTTTAGATGTCTGCTCTTCAGCAGGTCTTCAAATTCTGTAGAAGCCACTCATTTATTGAAATCAGGTGAAAGCAACGAAGACTGTGGCCCATGAGGACCAGGATTGGACGCCACTTGTCTTGGTCAAAGAAACTTGACCTCTCTTCATATGACAGAGATGAAACCAGCTCTGTTGGATGGTTTGGAGACGGTGGCATTGACCAAACAGACGAGAAAGAACTGGAAGAGGCAGAGCTGAAGATGTGAAGGTTCTCCCTGGGAGCGACAAAGATAACGACAAAGGCTAAAGAAGCGATGCATGTTTTGGATGCAGTTAGAGAGGACATGGAGGTAGTTGGAGTGAGTGAGATGGAGAATGACTTGCAGCATCCCCAGAAGAAGGAACTGCCGGAGAAGGAAGAGGAAGAAGAAGGTTGTCAGTGCGTGTATCAGTGAATCACACACTTGCTGTCTGACTTCACGGACGTTTCTCGTTTCAGGACGACGATTGGCGACACAGGGAATGGTTGTGTCAGCTGTGTGGTTTCCTGCTCTACGAGAACATTTACATCAGCATCGGCTTTCTGTGCTGCATCAGTCTGGATCGCTACCTGGCTGTGGTCCATCCTCTGAGGTACATATCAGACTTTGGACTGACTCTGACAAATCAGTACAGAAGGACATGTGTAGTCCTCTCAATGAGGACAATATTTTTTAAGGCCTAATTCAACAACTTATAATAAACCTTATCATAGTTTTTATCAAAAATTTTCCCGATTTTCTGAAGACGTAGTTTTATTTTTATTTTTTTCCCACTCAGTTTCCGTCTTTTTACCTGGACATTTTCAGAGGAAAGTTTTCAACTCTGACCTTTGAATCATTTAGACATTAAAAGGCTCCAAACTCAAGGAATGAAGCAGGGTTGTAAACACAACAAAGAACCAGTTTCAATTGGATCTTCAAGCTTTTTGTTACCCAGCACAAAAACACAATTTGTTTCCATTTCTTCAGCTGGATCAATGAAAACTCCGTAGAGTGTGACTCAGATACACAACGTTTGTGCACATGAAGTCAGGGCTTTTCTTTTCCTGTGTCCAGGTTTGCGGCTCTGCGCTCGATGACGGCAGCCTGGCTCGTCAGCGCCATTATCTGGCTGAAGGAGATAGCAGTGGGCGCAGTTTTCTTTCACCACAAGGAGCTGAGCAGAGACAAGACGAACCAGTCTGTGTGCTTTGAGCACTACCCCATGCGCTCGTGGGAATATTCAATCAACTACTATCGATTCGTTGTTGGCTTCTTGTTCCCGCTGGCCATCCTGTCGGTATGTCCGTTTTACAACCATCTTTGGCTCAGACAGTAAAAACCTAAAGATATGTCACTTGATTTTAGGATAAGTACCCCCAGCATGATTTTAGAAGACACAACTTTGTGTTTTGTTTAAACATAGTGTGAACTTTCTTCGTTCAATTCTTCATCCACATTTGGAGACGTCAGGCGGGCAAAGCAAAGCTCAGTTCTTGACGTCTTCTTCTGGGGCGATCAAGAACAATGACGTCGAGCCAACATGACGTTGTGTTTGTAGGTTAAATCTGAGTTTTGATTTGAAAAGGGGTGGATCAGTTGAACCTTTCTGTTTTCTGCTGGAGCAGATCAGCTACCTGTGCGTCCTTCGCGCGGTGGGTCGGAGCGCCGGAACTCAGCCGGATCAGAAGACGAGGATCAGACAGCTCGTCAGCAGCACCATACTCATCTTCCTCGTCTGTTTCTCGCCGTACCACATCTTCCTGCTGGTCCGCACGCTGCTGGAGCGGGACTGTGCTTTTATAGAAGGTACCATTTGACTTCAAGGATGTCACGACTGAAAATGGAAGATGGCTACAGCTGAACAACTCGGGTTATTGTTTTCCAGGAATATTTAACTACTATCACCTGTCGCTGATGCTGACCACCCTGAACTGTGTGGCCGACCCGGCGCTCTACTGCTTTGTCAGTGAGAGCGCCCGCCGCGGCCTCTACAGAGCCATCGTCCGGCCCATCACCAGGATACTCTGCTGCTGCTGTCGCCGTGGGAACGCCAGCCCTATAAACCCAGCCAATGACTCCCACGAGGTGGCCACCACCGACGAGAACAACGGCCACCCGACCGTGACGCTGCTCACCCACACCAGCACACAGAACAACGTGAAAACAGACTCCAAAAACACGACCTTAACCACACTGGCCGACGAGAAAACCATGATACCGTTAACGGTTCGAAACAACACGAACGCACATGACAAACATGGGGACGTCAACGGGAAGTTGGGGTGCGTGATCGCTGTCGAGGAGCAGAAACAAATGACAGAGAGGACAGAAGAAAATAATAAACACATCTCCTGAAGGTACAGGACCAATCAGGCTGAGGCTGCAGAGCGACAGAACAAAGACGACCAACGAATGACCTGGTCTGTTTACATCAACATGATGCATGTTTAATCCTGCTGCTGCCCTTGGGTCAAAATGACCCATGAGGCCTCCGTGTTAAAACTGAAACCTCGGCTCGTTTTGACCCCAGGGCAGCAGGAGGGTTAAATCTACGAGGTGAACTCTGATCGGATGAGTTAAAGGTCTGTTTACATTTTCTCTGTCCAAACGTCACATTTCAACAGGAAGTGGTAATTAAAAACATCTGATGTGGTAACTTTAGTATAAAGGTAGAAAATAAAGGGTTAAATGTTGTGAGCAGAGAAGAAAAACAGCAAAATGTTCAACATTAAAATTTAGAAACAATTTTTTTAAAATAATTAAATTATGTTTTCTTATTCTGTTTTGTTATATTTTTACTAAAACTTTTTTTATGTATTCTAATTTATTTTGTATTTCTGTTGTATTCTTTGTGTTCTGCTTAGTCATGTATTTTTTTTGTTTCCTTGGTGTTTGTCACCTCAGGGCCACCATACTTTACACTCAGATACAAACTCTCAAAAACAGGATATTTTCCATCCCTGTAAAAGTACTCAACAATAACTTGAGAACAATCAACAAAAAGTGCATTTACAAAAAGTGCATTTAAAAAAATAAAAACCAAAGTTGAACGAGATCTCAACTTAAGAAGAGAGCCAGCTGCTTCATTTTTAGTCTGAAAAGAATAAAACTTTTTAAAAACGCTCAATTTGAGCTTTGTTTTAGTTGTGCTGTGATTTAAAATTGACTGATGTTTTTTTTTCTGCTGCTTTAATGAATTGGTGCCATTTACATGAAAGGAGTGCGCTTAAAAATTATTGAATTAATTAAGTTACAGAGTTTAATTCTTTTAAGGTGAGTTCTTTGGAATAAGTATAACAGTTAATATCTTACCTGTCGTAGACCGCTCGTTGAGCATCGTCAGTTTGGATAAATAGTTAAATTCTGATCAAATTGATAAACTAATGGCTTGTGTGATTGAGGTTATTTATAAACCAATAATCACACTCAGTTTAGCAGTATGTTGTTTTTAATTTACAAATGATAAAAATCATAAAATGGTTCAACAGTTTTTTCATTATTTGCTTAAAACTTTTAAAAATCTAACTTGTAGAGTTCCTAAAATAAACAATATTTAATTTGAGTTTTGGGTCATTTAACCTGGTCTGAATTAACCAAACCTGACTGTTAGCTCAACCTTGAGTAATTTAATCTGACATTTTAGTCTGGATTAACTAAATCTGGATGTTAGGCTGGTCTGAATGACCTAAACCTGACTTTTGGGCTGGTCTGGATTGCCTTACAAAAATAAACTGAAAGGCAAGCAGCTAGCTGCAGCACCTCCTGTCCATCCTGAGGCAGGTCGTATATCAAAATATATTTCTGTCAGATTAACCATCTTATATTGAACTGACAGGAGTTTAACGTTTACAAATTTTGTGAACAAATCTGAAACTTTGGAGATCGGATAAGTTTTAAAATCGCAGAACACTTAAGTTGTGATCCTGCTTGGACCAGCCTTTCAAGTATCCCTTTAAAAAAGTTGAATTTTATACAACCCAGCCCGAAGAACCAACAGTAGATGGTAAAAAGTTGGTCAATTAGCCACTTACTGTCTAAAAGCAGCAGAAAAATCTGAATATTTATTTAAGAAAAAACAACACTTTAAACATTTTATTTGCTAGGTACAAAGTTGTTGCTTGTTTTAACTGAATATTCATCAAATATTTTATCTACAAGACGTTTCCCCCCTGCAGGTGATGCTGCTTATTAACAAACTACTCTTCGTGACTGAACCAATGTATATAAATTTATTGTCAAATACATATATTATGCAAGTAAAACTATAGTCTATTTGTATTTTTCTATTTTTAACAAAAAGAAGATGCATTACAGTCGTATAAATCTGTAAATTGGTTTATTTTCCTAAAAGATTAAAAAATATACGGTATATATTTTTATCATTTCTTTTGGCCTGCCACATTATAAATGGATTGGATTTGGTCATATATGAAATCATCTCAGGGTCAACTTCCAGTGGTACTGAACAAAGTAAAAAAAAAAAAAAAAACTTAATTTACTTTAATTTAAAGTTGCTAAAGTTGGTGTGATGAGTTCAGATGCTCTTATTGTGAAATTCTATGACATTTACTTTTGTTGGTCAGTGTCCACTTAAAAAAATTGTATTTAATAACCACAACTAATAACATTTATGCATTACAAATTTTAAATAATGTTTCTTTAAAAGAACCAGTACCGTATTTTTCAGACTATACGCTGCACCAGATTAAAAGGCACGTTAAGCGAAACAAAACAGTCAGAAAATTCAAACTTTATTCAACTCATTCACAATAACCACATAAAACTGGTTAGAGGTCAGTAAGCACAACTAAAACTAATACATAAGGTACACCGGATCATAAGGCTCACTGTCGATGTTTGAGAAAAATTAAAAGATTTTAAGTGCGCCTTATAGTCTGAAAAAAAGTATTTATATTTTAGTGTAACAGTTTGAATATTCACCACTTTGCTTCTTTCAAAATGTTGGTCTTAAACTGTAGTTTTACCAACTTCAATTTGTTTTTGGCAGTATTTATTCTAAACTAATTTGGAAACATTTCTGAACAACTGGTTATAATGTTGGTGGCACAGATTAATGCGTAGTACGCGCCAGGATAAAAGAAAAAGCCGTTCATTTTTCCACTTGGTCTGTATTTTCTCGTATATGTGGAAATTTTTTAAAAAGAACACGCTTTTGCACGCAAGTCTTTACAGTTCATGAACGCATCGCGTGACTAATCATGCAGGAACAAAACCTGCATAAAATAAGTTTTTGTTGGTTTTTTTTTTTGGCAAAACTGATTAAACCAAGTACTTTTATTTGCAAATATTTATCTTCTGTGTTTGTCTCTGTAAAATTTATAGAAGGTTTGTGACTATAAGTGCAAAAGTGAACCAATTATTCAGCCTTTACACGAGTTTGAGGTTGTTGCTAAAACAATCTGATCAGATTTGGTGTGAAACGCTGCAGGAATTAGACAGGTACTAGAAAAAAGGAATAAACTAGAACAAATTCAACTAAAATATCTCAGATGTTTCCTCACAAAATTAGCCTGACTGAAATCGATTTTGTTTCTTTTCAACGACACATAAACAGAAAACTGGTATCTCTGCTGGATGAATATATACTGTATTTAAAAAAACACTTCCTGTTTCTACATGTTGCTATCTGCATGAGAACGGTTCTGGGTTATCTGTGAGACCCTGTCTGTGTAAGGAACGTTTCGTTCAGTCTTCTTGCTTTGGTGCAAAATGAGAATTTTATTGTGAAAATTGTTACAGAAGTTTAACAAAATTACGTTAAAGGAAGTTTTTATTTATTTTTTTTATGAAGGATGAAGTTCATATGTCTATTGCATCTTGTTGAAGTGATGAATTTACAGCGATGAATGTCTTGCAGAGTATTTTTTTTTTATAAATCTTCAGAGTGTTATGCTCTAAAAGACGGGTTGTGTTTATCGTGACGGTGTGTGGAGGCAAGTGCTGATAAAACGCTGCGGTTTGTTTCTTAGCAAAAACAGCAGCTCGTCCTTCAATCATAGTTAAGTTCTTTCAGTGGGGATTTAAAATCCAGAACGTAGTACAGGAAAATGCACCACCTGTTAGCATTTGTCTAACACATATGAGTTGTTTAAGCACAAGTGTGTGTGTTTCTTACAGCTGGGGAAGGAAATGAGTTAGATTCTTCTTTAATTTTAAGGTTTTATATATCAGCACAAAAAATAATCAGATCAACACCATTGGGTCGTTACGTTTGGGAAACATGAGCAAAGTCCATTGTCACTGATGCCATTTGCCTCAAGAGGTTACAACCAGGTGACATTAACTTTAACTGCTGATGGACTATTTATTAATTGTTCATCACCAAAGTAAAAGCAGAAGTTTGGTCAGCTTGCTGCTGTGGAGCATTCAGGTGTGTGGTAACACAACGCCAAGTTGGGCAGACATCAGCAATAGCCTGAAGGGTTGTCAACATTGAAACATTTTCGACCATGCCAGTGTTTTTTATTTTAAATAGTTTCAGCCTTGTGTTCACAGTGAACAGCGTTTTAGGAGCGCCACAACTGTATTCTTTTCCAACAAAGTGCAGATTGAAAAACGTGTGTTTTCATGTAGATGGTCAAAACGTGGCTATTTTGAAACGGTGATGTCATTGTCCCAACTCTAATCTAATCTGTGGCTCGAGGCAGTTCCCCTTTTCTTGGTATAATTATAATTTGCACCAAGTGTGTAAGCTTTACACCCAGACTCCTCGTCTTGTTTTCTGTTTTTAATATATTTTCATGGACCATATGGCACCACGTACAGGCCTGGTGTAGTTAGAACAGCGTTTCGAATAGTTTGGGTGTTGTCGTGCGGGCCAAGACTTTCTACAAATGGTGCCATCTCTACAAGGTTATTTTAGAAACATCGAACGAAAAGATCGTTTGTGGAAAAACTTGTGAAATCTTTCTCAGGTGGACAAGCCCTTAAAAAAGTGCCTGCTGCTGCCCATCAGTGTGGGAAAGATAATTTGGAGTCCATCATTCTACAGAGGTAAACATGATTCACAGGTGGAAAACATTTAAGACTGCTGCCATTATTCTCAGGATTAAGCATCCCAGCAACTTCACCCTTAGGTCAGACTGTGCAATGCTCCACAAAATTATCCCAAAGAAGCTCTATTTCAATCCATAGGCCTCAATCAGCAGGTCAAAGGTTAAAGTTAATGATGTGGTGATTAGAAAGACTTAAGTATGGCTTGTTTAGAAGGGATGAAGGAAAAAACATTTTTATGTCATTAGACTTTTACTTGATAAATTATTGAAATGTTTATGATTTTAACCACAGTACAACATATTTACGGTGCCAATGCTACAGGTGCTTTTTCAGGGGAG